TTGTTAATAAAATTAATTAAAAATAATATTTTTATTACATTCATTAACAAAATTATTTATATTTTTTACATTAAAAATTAAAATAAAAAAATAAATTAAATTATGAAAATATTTTTTTCTCTTTAATATGATTGAAAAGGTAGAAAAGTAAAAAAAAAAAAAAAACAATCTACTGTTAGATCACTGGACTCAAAGCAACCAGTGAACAAAAGCAGATTTTCGCACTACAGCTTAAACATCAAAACTAAAACTCAGTGCAATTTGTGCAAATTTTTATTTAAAATCGTTTGGATACGTTTGAATCCAAATCAAGTCTTAAAGAGAGAATGAAAATAAAAAAAATTGATTTAAAAAATATTGGGTTTTATAGTGAAAAAAATAAAAATGTCAGCGCGTTAAACAAAACCCGAAACTATGACCTGTGTGTGCAATCCATAATCTGTGTGTAGAGTTGATTTATTGATATTAAGCATTAAAGATATATTTGATATGTAAGATTATGATAATATAGTATAAGATAATATTATAAATAGAATTATATTAAATAATATTATTTTATCTTAATTTGATATATGTAAAGATTAAGATAAGATAATTTATTTATTGATTAAAATTTTTTTTTTAAATTTATACAAATTAAATTATTTATGTAATTTTTAATGGTATAATATTACATGTAAATTTAATCTTATAAATTAAAAATAATCATTTTTATTTTGAGAAGATTGAATTATTTTATACCAAAAGGATGATATTTTTCTTTGTAATCTTATTTATTTTTTTAGATACAAATTAAATATAATATAAAATAATTACCATCATATTTTATCTATTATCTTATACACCAAACATCATTTAAATATATTTAAAAGGTTCTGGCATTAACCTAGCAAATAAAAAGCTATAAAATAAAGAAATATGAAAGATGTCAATTACCTTACTTTTCTTACGTTGCTTGTTCAAGTCTTCACGCCTGATTGCTGCCTTTTCTTAATTTTTTTTTATTACTAATCTTCTTTATTTTTCCATTCTTTTTCAATTTTGATGATGGATTCTTTAAATTGAGGTTTTCATTGCAAAAGGATTCGAAAGGTTTGATTTTTATACTTTTTTGGGGGTTAATTATCTCTTGAACCAAACGGACTGAAGAAAGTGGAAAATAAGCTTTTTTTTAATCCAATTTTTAGGCTGCCAAAGGATTTTTAAAATTTTTAGGTTGTTTTCATTTCAATAATTTTTTTATTTTTTATTTTTACATTGTGAGAAGTTTTTATGGAAATAAAGAAAATTTTAGGAATCAAGGCAATTATAGAATGCCTTTCGTTGCTTCTTTAATCGAAAGGGAATGGGGTGTGGAGTTTTTATTTTTAGATTTATTTTTTTATTTTATCTAATTATGAATGTTTTTATGTATGATAAGAAATCTTATATATCTCATCAAAAGGAAGGAAAAAAATGAAAATAAAAGGGGCTCTGTCTTGAGTCTTTTTAGTATTTTTAAATTAATTTATTTTTGTTTACCATTAATTTTTTATTTTTTATTCTTTTGATAAAATTTTATAATTTTTTCATATCAATATATATATATATATATATATATATATTTATCTTTTAGGGTTTCAAATGAAAGAAAAACAGAGGATGAAGATGCCGAAAAAAGTAAGTAATTGCATTGTTTGGAATAAGCTGAAAAGGTTTGTTATTAGTGCTTTATTTATTTTTATTTGTGTTATATATTTCTTACTACTTTTTGCTAAGAGAAAAATTGGAATCTAAATTTTTTAAGAATTAATATTATTTTAGGTTTTATGCTATTACTTTTTTATTTTATGAATTTTATTGTGTTTTTTTTTTTTTTTTAGTTTTAAGGTTACATTCAATGGTTTGTTTTATGTTACTTTATATTAATGGTGTTAATTAACCTCTGTTTTTTTACCTATTATGAATAGTGCTATATATTTGAATTGTGATTATTGTAACTTTAATTAGCTAAAATTTGATTGGTGTGTTTGATAGATTTAAGGTTTAATGTTAAAAGTTGAGTATTGAGATGAGAGATTATATTATTTTTATTAAGATTTGGAAATATATTTGAGTTAATTAATCAATATTGTGATGTATTTATGTAATATTTTTTTAATATGGAGTTGACCTCGAATGATATTTCAAGTGCTTTGTTTTTTGAAATTGTTTAAGTTTTTTTTTTTTTTTTTTTTTTTTTCTAAATTGTTGCTGTTCTCTTTTGCTATTTTGTGTGAACAATGATTTTTTTTTATATATGTTGTTTGATTTTTAATTTTTTCTTTGAAAATTTTTTTCATTTACTCATGTTCATCGAAGATATCAAATTTTGATTTTTTTTTTTAATATCAAATTATTTTTTTTCATCGAAGGTTATTAAGATTTGAATCCTAATAAGTAAAATTAAGAGTTCAGCATTTTACCAACATATCATATAATTTTTTTTTATTAATATTTATTTTTTTCTCTCTTCCAACATCTATTTGGAAGTCAAAACATTAATTATCATACTCAATTTTATTTTCTATTTATACTTTATACTAAAAGTTATTTTTGGTTAATATTGATACTTTTTTAGCACAATTCTACTCTTAAATACTGAAATTAATATGGTTTCACGGTATTCCATCTCTTTATAATTTGACGATGAATGTTGTTTACAAATAGATATTAATGAGCCATTCCCATCCATTTTTTTCATGAAAATTTATTCTTCTTGGAATATGAAAAATAAGTTCAAACATACTTGAATTAATTTCATTTCCACATTAAAAAGTTTGACGGTAAGATAATACATCTAAGTCATTGTTGATAAAATCAATTATGCCGGAAAAATGAAAATGATTATAGTTGCATATGAATAAAAGTCTTAAGTTACTTTTTTATAAAAACTTAAGATAGTTTGGACCCATTCATATACACTGATCAAAATAAGTCTTTTTTTAGTAGTTGGAGAAAATATGCAACAGATAATCATTTGATGCTTGATGACCACGGTATTTTTGAGATGGTTCAGCAAGAGATATTTCGTATGATTATTTATAGTAATTATATATGAAAATATGCAGGATGTTGATTAAAATTTAACTATTCTGCTCTAACTTTGATTTAAACTATCATGCTTTTTTTATCATTTAACTCTTATGCTTTTTAAATGGCTTAGGACTTTTAACTCTGGATTGTAATTTTTTTAATTTATCACAAACTTAATGCAAGTATTATTATTTTTTTTTGTTGTTTCCATTATCAATTATATGTTTAATCTTCTTAACTCTTCATTTATACTTGATTTTACTGTTAAAAAAAAAAACCTGCAGCATTGGGTGTGGGCAATGTTTCTAGTCTTAAGCTTCATTTGAATGAACGGTGAGATTGATTATTGTAAAATTGAAAATAATAATAAAATTTACTGTAATTGTCATTGAAAAAAAAATTATTATAATTACAGTTAAAAAAAATTAATAAAAATTTTATACTAATTTGATTTCACTGAAAGTTGATGTTTAGATTCAACTGAAGAATTTAATTACACCACACCAAATAAATATGCGGTGGAATTCAAATAACTACTTATTTATTTATAATATAAATACTGCATATGATCATATTTTGTAAGTCACGCATTGGCTCTTAACAAGTTTACAAGTTGAGGTTATAGCTTTTTTTGGACTTTTTTTTGTTTATTTTTATTATAAAAACATTTTTTACATTGGGGTCCGCAAACTAGTTTTTGTGGGACTATTTTTTCGTTTGTTTTTTTTATTTTTTTATATTTTATATATTATTTACTATTTTTATATTTTACTATAAACAAATTATTTTTTAAAAATGAGACCCACTATTTTTTGTTTTTGGTGGTGTCACATTTTTTTTTTTTGTTTATTTTTTATTGTTTAATAGCTCAATAGTTTTTTGGGACTCACTTTTTGTTTTGTGTCTTTTTATTTCAATTTTTTAATGATTTATAATTTTTTAACGTGTGATTTAATTTTTTATTATATTGTTTGTGAAATTCACTTTTTTTTCTAATTTTGTGCCGCATGTTTTTTATTTATTCATTTATTTAAATATTTAAATATCTTTGAAAGACTCGTTTGATATTAATTTCTTAAAAAAATTGAATTAATCTTTTATATATATATATTTTGTTAAAATCACTTGATATCAATTGATTTGTAACTGTATAAATTTCTTCTTCGGTGTGTACTCATCATCAGAAGCTGGTTTCTCATGATATGAAAAGAAAAAGAATGCAGCTCCAAGATTTGTCATTTTCGGGAAGTTAGAAACCTTGACATACCTAGTAGCAAATATTCTGGTTTCGCATTCTCATTTTTGCTACCATGCTATTACATTGTGATGTACATGGATTCTTAAAATAATTTAATACTTTCATCTTTCATAAAATTATAAATAATTTTAAACAGGGCATGAAAGTGATCATACGTACGAAAGAAAGCCATGTACACAAGCAACACGGTACAAACAAAAGGATCAATCATTAAGCCATTTAGAACTTTCAGCACTGCAATTGGACACTATCAAATTCGTTAATGCTTGTATTAAGAACAATCTACTTTCATCGAAACGTCAGAAAATCTTTTTTTTTTTGCAAAAATCTGTGCGTACCACCCATGATCGAAGAGGTTCCGTAGCCCAAGCACATGAAAAATTTGAGACAAAAATACATTCTATTGCAAAGGAATAGCTGAAGAACCAAGTGTAGTTTCAAAAGCAAAAGCTTATAAGTCAGAACATTCTCTTTTACTAAACATGCATAAACATGTCCTTACAACAATTTGAGAAAATTGAAAACGTTGTATGAACCAAAACAAAGAACTCACTCTCTTTTCATAGCAACAAGACTCTCCTCATAGGTGTGAATCCGAAGAAGATCCTCCCCACCTTCCCTTACTTTAATACTGAGCTCGCTGAATTCCTCATTCTCAAGGTCATAAACCAATAACCGTCCACTTACAGATTCTACGAATACCTTACCATTGATCCAAAACCCGAACATCCTTTCAACTTCTAAAATAGGTTCAATCTTCAAAAGTTCGGTTCACTGCCCATCCTCATTCAACACCCAAACCTCATTACTTCTTTCACTTTTATCCCTCATCTCAGTATCCCAGAAAGATATACTATCATGTAACGGAAGCAGCTTCCCACTAGATTTAGGACAAGGTGACTCTATCAATTGAAAAACTTCAGTGCTCAAATAAAATTCAATGATCTTTCTGTCAGAGCCAAACTTGAACATGTCCCAGTAGTAAGCACCATTTACACATGCGTTATCGGAGCTGTAAGAAATAGATAGGTCTTGTAAGAACTGAACATCTTCCTCTTTCAATACTCTCCATGAATCGGTGCTTATCCTGTAAACGGCACATCGAGGTGGAGGTGGTCGTACAATATTCTTCTCTAAATCCAGATAATACGGCTTATAAATCACCTTGTAATCATTGGACAAAGGTTCCAATCCAAATCCAAGAATATGTGTACAAGTTTCTGCCTTTGGTGGAATGTTTGGATTACAATCGGGAAGAATCCTGAATTCTCTTATGGTGGGATTCCATAGAGTTATGCGAGAATTGTATTCATCACATAAACAAATTAAACCATTATCCACACGTAACTCAAAAACATAGAGATCAGGAATATGTGAGGCCAATTGTTGATGCAAATAATCGTAAGAAACAAGGTTTTGATCAACAAACAAACGCAAAAAAATATTATCATTGTTGTCATCGTGATAATAAACAAGAAGACGCTTATTCTTTTTGCTAATGCTAAGATGCTGAGAAACAAAGGTGGGATTTTGAAAAAGATCACACCATGTTTTCGCCACACACTTGAAACGAGACAGGTAATTTCAAGAGAATCTCAGTCAAAATATCTGCAAGAAAATCCATTGCTTCGCATTAATCCAACTCTGATTCTTTCTCTATATCTCAATCTGCCACCAAATCCCAAATTGAAAATTAAGAGAATACAGATTGTTAAGTTTAATTGACAACCACACAAGGTTTTTGACAATCAATAAAGGAATGAAAAACCAAAACTAAGAAAGATAGAGAGGCATACAGTAGAACAAAAAAAAAAAAGAATCAAGACTGCTTTTACATGTAGTGAAATATTACCAAAAACGTAAAAGATCTCAGTGGATTTTTCTTTCCAAATTAATAAGATACTTACTTTGATATTGAAAGAAAAAAAAAAAAGAAAAATTAAGGAGAAAAGCAGGTAGTATTAATAAAGAGTAAGCCACAATTTTACAAACAAAACCACCCACCTCCGTGTCAGGATTTCATGAACAAAACTATGTGCTCGTGGCCCTAACACTTCAATCAAAAAGACTATAATTGGTTAAGGGAAACTTACAAATCGGCGCGGTGGAACGAGAATAATGATTTGTTACCATGTTAAGATATACTGCTTTTACCTTTGACGTCTAATGTGAACCAATGGCCAGTGTGTGTAAAAGGCTTTTTCAATATTAAATAAAATTTATTGATAGTCAGATTAAATGAAACACAAACATAAAAAAAAAAAAATTAGGATTTAAATAATGCTATCTAAGAGTTGTAAACAAAAAATATTATTAATTTGTTAAAAAAACTTTTAATAATAATAAAAATAATAAATTTTACTTATGCTGATCAATTCTTCCAAAACACATGTAATGGGAAATTCAGCAACCCAGATCAATTATTCCAGAATCTAACATGAATATAAATGTGTCGTTCAATAGAATTGCCCACAATTCTTTTATGAGGTCATACATTTATCAGAAAATGTGACAGTTTTCAAGGAAATCGCTGGACATTACAATCTCATAATTTCAATTCTATACATCTATAAATCATTAAAAAAAAGTAAATTAAATGAATAAACTTGTACATGAGGGTCAACTTACTTGACCTGTTAGACATGTTGTCAAAATTGTGAAGCCATCCTCATAGACATCTGGTTCTCCTCTTTCATACTCCTCCAACAACAGACCTGAAGCATTTAGGTTACATCTAAATAACGAAATCATAGAAATGATTCACAGATATCAACTAATTAAGCCAATGTATTGGGAAGCTTCCAACTACCAAGAATAATTTAAAACGTGAATTGTCTTGACCAAAAATTACCAATACATCTGGCTACTTAGAACACTCCTCTTTCTATTAGTAAGATATTCAAGGTATTTAATATTTATTACAATAACAAAAATTAAAATTGAAAGTATTAAGAGTAATTTATGAAATGTAATAAAAATTGTTATTTAATAATTTAAGAGAAATTATCAAATATACTAAAAGAATGTTTGGTATGGATGATCTATTTAAAAATTACTGTGATCTATAATCAGAAATTATATTATCTTGTTTGATTGCAATTTAAAAATCTTATATAACAGTGATCTTAAATCACTAAGGTCATAAAACTTTCACCATGAAAGATAAAACTTTCTCAAGAGCTTTATTTCAATATAAATATCTATATATATATAGATATCAATATAAATATATGTATATATTTATATGTCCCTATAGCTTGTGTTACTTGCGTAAAATTATAAAATTAATGAAAATAATAGCACAACGAACAATTTCTTAAAATTCCACTGCAGTTAAAACAAGAATAAAATTATAGCTTTAGATTATCTCTAACTAATTAAATAATCTTTACTTTTATTTAAAATGTTCAGCTTCATACCAGAATATATAATAAATTAAATAGAAGAATCTTTACTTAATTAAAATATTAACCTACTTACACTAAAATTAACTTAAGTTTACTGGTTTTCCTAATATCGAAAATGATATAAAATGAAGTATGAATCTGTCACTTTTCAATTAAAAAAGAGTTTTAACTGTGCAAACTTAATTTCGAGAGTTAAAACATAATTTTGTCTTGTTTTAATTATAATTAGAATTAAAATAATCTGATTAGAATTACAATTAAATTAAAACAATATGATTAGAATTATGTCATTAAATTAAAAGAATTTTAAAAGTGGAAAGGGTTTCATTTTATGGAAGCTGTGTGTATATATTTTATATAAATATATAAAAACAAAGTTTTTGGAAAAAAAATTACTTAGATAGTATAATTTTTTGAAATGTAGATAGTCTTGAATAATTATCATGTATTAAATTAATCACATTGATTTTTAGTAGTTTATATCTTTTTTAATTAATTTTATTTGCTACTTTTTGTTCACTCTTCAACATTATAAATATTATCTAAAAGGGGTTCAACTAAAAGAAACAATAATACTTAGTCATGCTTCACAATTATCCACGTTGTTTTTAGCATATGAGTTGGGATTGATTCTCTTAGATTTTATATTAAAAAAAAGTCTCAAACAACAATATTATTTTTGAATTTAATCGTTTTCTTAATATTTCCTACATTTCTAATATAATTTTTTATTTTCTATCTTTCCATATATATATTAATTATTTTTTGTGCAACTTTAATATAAGGTATTGAATGTTTGTTTTGATATTTTAATTTTATTCTATATGTTAAAGTGCTAAAGGTTTATGTTATTTCAAAACAAATATTTTATTTTTTTATGTTTGATATTACATAATTATAACTATATAAAATTTGAATTGTTTATAAAAATAAAATTTTATCTTATAATTTAAAAAGTTGATATTATATATAAATTTATTGATATATAAATATACTTTCGTCCATCACACATATATCACATGGCTTTAAAATTAGTTATATATTTAGATTGGAATACTTATTATAGGCAATTTCAATGCTTTCTTATGGGCAATTTCAATGCAACTTTTTCATGATAAAAAAAGTTGATCAACATCATAGTTCATGGAATCAAATTGGAGAGTGACCCGTTCAAGATTATCAGTCATTGCATCAATAGCTCAATTATGAATCAACCAATATTGTTAAATTAATAAAAATATTTTAAATTTTGTAAATATTCTAACTATATGCATTAAAAATATTTTATGATATAAAAATTAAAAATCGTTAGCAATGAAAAATTACAAAGGAAGCACTTATAATTATTGTTTTTTTTTTAACTTTTGTTTAAAACAAATTAGCAAATATGGGAAAAAAAAACAATAATTAGTAAAAAAAGTTATGTTAGGTATTATTTTAAAATTATTTTGAAAATCATATTTAATTAAAAAATAATTAAAAAGTGGACAAATCTTTATTTTTTTTTTCATAAAACTCTTGGGTCAAATGCACAATTAATAATAAAGTAAAGAATGGTTCTTTCAATTCACTACTCTAGTACTTCAATTAAATTTGATAGATTTTATTCTCAAGTGGGTTAGACTGAGCGTATACTATGTATTTGATATTAATACATAATTTACATGTCAATTTCAATCATGTTCCCTTCTTGGGCAACTTCAATAGTGTTCTTTTCTTCTAATTTTTTTCTTTTTATCTAATTGTAATTTTAAAATGTATTTCATCTTCGTTGTATATAAAAGTCCTCTCATAATCTCTCTCTTCTTTTTTTTTTTTTAAAGAAAAAATCTATGTATATGCTGACTGATATGTTACATATCACTTTCACTTACTAGGAAGAAAAAGGGTCAATGTGAAAGAATTAAACTTTTGATCCAAATTGAGGTTGCAAGCTAAAACTGATTGTGTTATATATGAAAGTGATAATATTATTCTTGCATACATTTTCACTTTGATCACTTTAATTCATGAAAATTAGAAAACAGAGAGATAACAAATTTAGTAATTTTTTAAAATTATAAAGCAGATTTGTACATCCTGTTAAATGAAACAAATGACATGTTTGATTTTTTTCATCTAAGGGGGACTTACAAATTAGGGTGGTGCAATTAAAATAATTAGTGGCTGCTACCTTGGTAGAAAATAGTTATTAAAAAGGAAATTGTTTTGACTTTTTTTTTTTATTAAGAAAATAGTTACAATTAGAATCTATAGCTTAACACAAATGGTTCATACAATAATTTTTAAAATGTGACATCTAGTAGGTCTAGTATTTGAATCCCAACATGTGAAACCCTTTCCCTTATTCGTAGGTTCTGACCTTTTATGTACTAAAAAAAGTTGTCTGCATTTTTTTATCTATTTTTATGAAATTTTACTAACCAAACAATTTATTCTCTTTCATAAACCATATGCGAAAGCAACCAGAGATTTCAAAATTTTCTCTTCCTGGATCATCCAATCTTTTTAAATCTTAAAAATATAACAAAATTTAAATCCTAAAAAATAAAAAATAGAAAAAAATGGTTTAACTTTTATGTAGACAATGGTAAAACATATGTACATCATAGATCAAATATATATATACATATACATATATGTAAATTATGTTTAATAATATGTGTATGTTTACTGTACTTATAAATTTTTTTACCATAAACTAAGAGTCATTATATTATTATGAGATTATAATATAAAATTTTTTGAGCTTACAAAAGGTATTGAACTTGTTTTTGTATATAGTAATCTTCTCATATAAAAATGAAACAAAATAGCTTAGTTTTATGTACACAGTGATAAAGCCATATCTACATTTATGAAATATACATCTCTTAGCTTAACAAAATCGAGTTCTTAGTTTTATGCTAAAATTTGATCGTTGAATGCAATATGAAATTTTATACATAGGACTTCATGCAAAGCATAGAGATTTCCTCTATATATTATAAAAATTGTGTAAAATTAAAGATATTATTTTTTGTAATCAAAGACTTATGGTTATTGATGAACATAGACTTGATTATGTTTATTAACTAAGAATGTGTTTGGCACGTAAGATTATGATAAGATAAAATAAGGTAATACTATGAATAGACTTGATTAAATAATATCATCCTATATTATATTTGATATATA